TTCTAATCCAATAGAGCACTTTTCTACATTTTCGAACTTTTAATTTTATTCAAAAAATCTAGTTTTAAAATATTTTACAAAATAAATATTTTTTAAAGATACCATTCTTTTTATTAATTAGTTAAGAAAATATAAAAATCCTGCAAAGAAAAAGGAAACTAATTTTTACAATAAGAAATCAGAAGCAATAATATAATGAGGAAATAAAAGCTTTTATTTGTAAAGAAAAAAATATTTTTAAATATAGCCTTTTACAGAAAATATCATTTATAATTTTTTTTTTTTTTTGTTTTTCACCTCCCCGAGGCTAAGAAGGCCACTACAGATGAGGAGGCTACTTGTGGTTATAACCCTCTCCCAACTCTATAACTCCAAAACACGAACCTTGACGAACAAGGCCGCTGCGCGGAGAAACAAGTTGAGCACGGTACTACCAGGGATGTGGTGGGAATCGAACTCGGAATCTCTCACTTATGAAGCGAGTGCTCTACCACTACACCACTACCGCATATGGATTACAGCCTAGTAATGTTTTTTACTTAAAAAAATGTTGGTCTTTTACAAAAAAATTAGATTCAATGAATAAAAATATTATTTCTAATTATTGCTTCATAAGGCCTCCAAAAAGCTTAAAAGATAAATTTTTAACAAAACAAAATTTTATATTTTGGAAAAATATTAAATTTGGAAAATAAAATAATTTTAATTTTTTTTTGGGAGGGGGAGGCGGAAGCCTGATTGGACCCCCCACCCACCCATACTTTGAGCCTACCCTTGGCACAAAAAAATATAAATAAAGTATAAATTTATTATTGCCCTCAAAAAGACTTTTACAATAACTTTTTACAACATAAAATTAAAATATAGCTAATTTTGTTATAAGTATGTTAGCAGTAAATGTAATGCTAACTCAGCGTATATATATACTTTACTTACTTAAAAGGCTGCATTAAGAAAAGTTGAAAAATGCAGTAATATATTTTTTATTAATAGTGATGTTTGATACCTATAAAAAATTATCAAGGTGACATCACCATTTTGACCGTCGGAATACCACATAATATACGCCTTTATTATGTAATTTACATGTAATTATGGTAATCAAAGAAATTTTCAATTTGAAATTTGTATCTGCCATGTGAAAGGTTGTTAATGTACAAAATTTCAGGATGGTACCTCATTTGGTTTGGAAAATATTGCCATTCAACAACAAAAAAGTATTTTGCAAAAAATGCTGAGTTAGCATAAATCCTGAATATGTAAAGTGTTGGAGGTTCCAAATTTAAGATTATCCTAATTTTCATAAACCCGATAACATATAAAAAAAATTAGCAAAATCTAAAAATGGGGTGACATGAGCCTGCTTATTTAGAAGATTTCAAAGAAAATTCTATTTTATTACTTTTTGCTCTAATATTCATTTTATATGTGCAAAAGAAGTAAATCCATTTTTTATTTTGTAAAAAATTAGATTTATCTTTATATAAACATAAAAATATGAAAGAAAAAAGTATAACAGGATTATTCCATATCAAATCACCTAAAGGCTCCCAGGGTACCACATCAGAATTGCTTTAAATTTTGAACACACACAGATTTTATGAAAAAAATACAATCCAGAAAACCTCAGCCCGATTGACCGGTTTGTTCAAAAGTTATGATTGAATTAAAAATTACCAAAATCCAAAAAATTTGTGTGTCAGGAGCTTACAGCAGTTTTTTTCGATTTTTGACAAACCATAACTTTTTAAATAAAGATGGTGATCATCTGAAATTTTGTAGGGTAATAGTTTTTCACCCAAATAATCCATTATTGCAGTTGTTTTTGACTGATTTTTTACAGTTTTTGAGTTATTGTACCTTAAAGTTGCTAAATATTGCAACATTATAAATATTTTTTCGGACTTTAACGTGTTACAGTTTCATACTTACTTACAGAAAATGGATTTTTTTGTTACCTTTTTGTACTTAAGATCACCACTTGTTAGAATAATCAAAATTATGCATTAAAAATTAAGCAGCATGCAGCAGCCTATTAAAAAATCCCTTTTTTTTTAAATTATGATAAATTACATTGACTTTGCTGGCATAGAAAGTAGCGTAAACAGTTGAAATAAATTATGAAACTTTTTAATGTCGAGATTCTATATATAGACAATCACCAAAAAAAATTTAAAGACCTATACTCTATCTTATGACATGATTGTAGCCTTTTGAGAGTGATGATATTTTTAAAAGGAGAAAAAAAAAATACCACTTACCACATACAAAATTTTCACCTTAAATTTTATACAAACTATACTGTAAAAAAGTGCATTCAAAGAGTAAGATAGTCAGTTAAAAGAAAAAGTATGTATACATGAAACTAATTAGCTTTTCTCTGATTTATGTAACTCATAATACTGTCATAGTCATTACTAGCAAGAATATAGTCACGAGCACTTATACTTTTAATCAATGGAACACTTATTTGACATATTATCTTGTCAAATGGAACCCAACACTGACTTGATCGTGCATCATTTGTACATTTTAAATTTAATTTGTTTCTTTGTATAAACTTCACATTAACGTCTTGGTTTTCATTACAAATATCAACCACAAGCCCTACGTACCATTCTTCATCGTAAAAGCATGCAATATATTTACCAGGTTGAAAAATTAAAGGATTTTTTAAAATCAAATTAACATCATTTAACACATGAGTATCATAAACAGTATCACTAGAGATTCTTCGTAAAAACAATTTCTCTCCATCTGGTACAAAACAGTAATAGCTTCTTGTTCCCGGAACTGTGCGCATCCCTTTATATCGTTTCTGAAGGTTAAAAGTTGTTTCATGGTTATTGATATCGTCACTTGAAAGATAAAATATGTTAATACCTTTGATGTTTTTTTGAGCCCATGTAAACAGATCTTGTGGTGTGAGAATCTGATTTGTAATTGCTGCTCGTAGACTAGCTTTTGCTGCTTCTCTTTTTATAGTACCTCCTATTCCATAAACAATAGCATTCAGATTTAAGGTGATCTTTTTCATCTTTGTAATAAATAACAAATGGGTAGCTTGATCGGCTTGCCAGTAAAACCCTTGTATAGCATCTTGTACAAAAAAACTATAGTTTTCTGCAAAATCCATCAGAATAATGCAGGTATATTGGTCTAATGTTTGTTTTGCCTTTGATAAGTAGGAAGACTGTGCTTCTTTGATAAAGTGGTGGTGAAAAAGATCATACAAAGTTTCACTTAAAGTTTCAATAAATTCACTAATGCTTTTTTGGACTGTAATAAGTGCAGTTTGGTCAGTTGATACCCATTGTTTATATGTGATCTGATAATCAAAATCAAAATCATTCTTTTCAAACACATTTTCCAAGTAAGTCTTTAAATTTATTTTACCAGGGCAGTTGGAACATAGATGAAACATGCAGTTTCGACTATCTATATTACAAACACATACTTTCATTAAATCTTTGTAGTATATTAAATGGCTGTTAGGAAGAGCAGAGCACATCAACTTAGCATTTTGATGGTAAGAACATACACAAACTGAGTGGCTTCCACTACTATCAACAGTAAAGTACCACTTTGGCCTTAGTTCACAGAACTTACTGAATCCAACATTGTGTTCAGGGTATAACTTCTTAAATTCCAGATGAAGTTCTTTTAAACAAACTTATATTAAGTGTTTTTGTTTATGAACTTTAACATTATTTATATGCACAGAAACAAAGTCTTTTTTTCCTGGACATTGTCTAGTGTTTTCGTCAGATTCATATATTTCAATGACTCTCTGCTTAACAATATCCGCCAAAGGATGTCCTCTTTTAGCCTCAGGTTTAGCAAGTATTCCCTTTTCATTTTTTAGCTTTCTGGCTTTCTTAACAAGATGGTCTGAAACTGAAAATGCATTGCAAGTTTTTTTAATTGACTAACTATCAGGAGTTAATGTTAGTAATTGAACTTTTTCTTCATTCGAACTGATTTTTACTTTTTCCTTTATTGCATCTAAAAGTTTGTCTAAATCATTACAGTTAATGCACTTTTGCTTTTTCTCAGATAATATTTCTTTTGGGTCTATATCTAATGCTGGTGCTACAGGTTTGTCATACTTGTTTCCAGTTTTTTAACTTTTTGCTTTCCATATTCTAATTTGTCATGTTTACTTACATTTTTTAGAGGAGATATAGATAAGGTAAAGAAACACTCTTATTTAAAACTGTCTTATTTAGGTCTAATGAACTAAACTCCTCATCATCAACATCTTTGTCTTCATCTTCTTGACTAAATTTTCCTGTAATTTGTTCAAGTTTGAATTCATTCAAACAGTTAGTGCAAAGGTTTTGACCAGGTTTGATCTTAAGTTGACTTGCTGTTAAATTATCAACTTTACACAATCCTTTAATAATTTTTTTCTTGTGGACTTTAAACGGATCACAGCAGTATTTTGAGGCGAGTCTTAGGTCATAGTCTAATTATTAGACTATGACCTAAGGCTAGCTCATAGTCTAATAACATTCTCCTTTTGAAATTATCATCACTCTAAAAGGCTACAATCATGTCATAAGATAGAGTAATACACTTTTTAGAATGTGTTGTAAATAAAAGATGAGGAGTGGATCAATTTTTTATCAAAGGCCTCGGAATTGAGAGGATTAAAATAATAACAAACACTTTGGAATAGAAACTTTTTTTTGAAAAAAAAATGAACATTACTTTAAATGAAGTGAGAAATTTCATTCCTAAGCTTTTTTTTTTTTATTTAATTTATGCCATAAAAAGTCTTTTGTCAAACAAAAACCTCATTTGAAAGGATAATAAAATAACACACAAAAACCGCATGTCTTTTAATCTGGAAAAAAAGATTATTGAGTTTTAACAATATTAATAAGTTAAAAATAAAACAATAAAGCCTAATTATCGAATTCTCGTAACAGAGAATATTGTATTTTAAACATAATCAATTTTTCTATCCAACCGAGCTGTAAAATAGTAATCATAACCTGTATTTACAGCTGCATCGCCTATGGCAACAACACCTCTACCAAGAATTTCTCCTACAATAAATAAAATTGCTAACTGCCATGATAAACCTTTTTTACTTAAGTATGGTAAAAGTAATTCATTTTCTCCATCTTCAATTAGAAATTTTGTTTTCGTCACTTTTTCAATATGATTTTCATTCTCCATTATTGTTATTATTAACTTGAGGATAAAATTGCACTCATTTGTTATTAAATGGAGCGTTGATAAAATTGTTCAGATTCTATCAACTGTCGCACCTTAACTTCTAAATTTGACCAATAGGACGTTTTTTAAAATAACTCTTATAAACTTATTTTATTTTATTTTTGTTTCGATAAGGGTGGGTGAGATGGGACAAAATTTTTTTATTTGTGCACTGCGTTTTATATTTTCAAAAACCATACAAATAAGGTTAAAATTTTAGTCCACTGAATTGTCTAGGGAATCCATTGCAAAATCCATTACTTAATCAATAAAATAAGTTTCAGGCATTGATTTTTTTAATGTGACACTAACTGTCCCAGATCACACCGTATCGGGGTGAATTATGACAATGGTTGCGGTGAAATGGGACAAATTAGAAACAAATAATTTTGAGCAATTTTTTATTCTGTCTACTCCATTCTACTCCATATATCACTTTATACCAATACACAAAATATATTTATATTTAAGCAAAATAAGATATCATTCTAAAAGGTCGCTTGACGTTTAAATTGAGTCAAAATTACGTTGATTAAAGGGTAATTTTTTTGCTTTTTCTTATCTTTATCTTCCTTTTTTTCTTTTACATCTTGATAAACTTTAAGCTAGTGCATTTCTTGTTGGTGTGTCATTCCATACCAGAGACCTAGAACATTTTCTTTTTACACTTTTTCTCTTTGCCATCCTCTTATCTGCTTTGGCCTTATTTTTTCTTCTGTCCAATGGTAGGTAGAAGTGCTGATTCAATGTTTCTTGTCATTAATAACGTCAAATATAATTGATGGTGATGTGGGGATTTTTTGCGTTTGCAAATCACATATATTACTTAAATTGTAAAACTTTGTTGCAGATTCTGTTCAATCAGATACATTAGTTAGGCTGACAGAAAACGTTATTTGGACCAGTTTAGAAATACTTTTGGACAAACTGGCTGATAAGGTAGATTAGCTACATTTGCTACATTTACTGATAAGGTAGATTTACATTTGCTGGAATAGGCCGATCATACACATGAGAACATAAAAAGTCTACATCACTGAAAACATATGGATCGTGCGGAAAATTTTTCAGAAATGTCATATATTGTCATAGGAATATTTGGATGTGCCTTTAACCATTAGGCGCACGCTGAACTGTAAAATTTCTTTAATGACCCAAGAACTGATCTGTAAAGTGGTTTGAGTTTGTGGCTGCAACGAAGTGGCAATGTCAAGAGCACAACACTACTTACCTTAGCTTTATCCATCAATTCAATGGGTATATGACTTTTGTGGTTGTCCATTATAATAAGTAATGGATGATCCTTGCTAGAATGTCCATACTCCACAAAATGATCAAACCATTTCAATAAAATGTTTATTTATTTACTAGGATTAGTATCACCTTTAAAACCTGTTGGTGCATCTAAGCAAGTAGCTTAAAGGTGCACCAACAGGTTCCAACAAGTTCGACCACGTCCCTGGAAGTACCGCACTCAACTTAACTTCTCCGCGCAGCGGCCTTGCTTGTCAAGGTTCGTGTTTCGGAGTTAAAGAGTTGAGAGAGGGTTGTACCACGATTTACAACAACAACAACAAAAAAGAGTAGCCTCCTTGACTGTAGTGGCCCCCTCGGGCCTTGATGAGGTGAATAATTAAATTATTTTCTGTTCATTTGCTTTTTAATAAAAAAAATTAATTATAAAAGTTAAAATATAGTAAACTTAAAATTTGATGAACTTGAACAGTGTCTCGTTTCATCCCAATTCTTCTGTCCCAAGACACCCCATCACTAGAAGGCGTGAGAAAATCTTTAATTTATATAGTTCTCTTGATCATATGCTCATTATATTTCTTCAGTAATTAAATTAGACAAAGGTGATTAATTAAAAACTATAAACATTAAAATATATGCAAACAACACATAAATAATTAATATTATTGATGTCTTCAAAATCCTTGTTAAGTTGTTAAGTACATATTCACAAATAATTTGAAAAAAAAAAAATAATACTTTTGAAACTTAATAAACAAATGGTAGGAAGTAGTTACTTTAAACTTATCACAGATATAAAAAAACTTGAGATATTGCAATGCTCTATCTCACCCCATGTTACATTTCATCCCGTTCTCCCTTATATACTGTGCAATCTCTCTAATTCGAATCTCCTTAATTTAAAAACCTTAACAATTCGAATGAATTATTCAGACAATAAGATTCTCTTTGTAAATCGAACTTTTTTAATTTCTGATGTGTAAAAAATTCGTTAAACCATCGAACTCTTTTTTCAAATTTTGAATGTTTTTAGTTTTTATAAAACGATTAGCGTGAATTATTTTTTTTCTGTTTAAAACAAATTATGGCATCAAAGAGAATGCACAAAAAAAAAAAAAAAAAATTAAAGCAGAAATACGAAGTTCTACTGGGATAGTGGATATTTTAATTTATTCAGTGGATATTTCAATTTTTAATGACGGATCCAGTGTGCGGATTCGCAAAACATTTGTAAGCGTAAATTTGGCGTAAGTTAGGCGTATGTTCTAAACTTAATAATTTTCGTATTGACAAAACTGTACTCAAAAAAATTCGCTGCAGCGAAAAAAAAAGTCAAATCGCCATAAGCGAAAACCAATCAAGTTTTAAGTATCATATCATGTGATGTCAACAACAAAAAAAAGCTAAAGCACGTTGTTTTAAAGTGGAAAAAAAACAAAATTCTTAACCTGGCGTTCTTTTTAATTTTATATGAACTTACTCTGAAAATTGGCAAGCATAAGTAAACTCATCAAATAAGAAGCAAAACTTAAATCGAGAATTTACAAATATAAAATTGCACACTGTCGACAGTGAAGTGTAACTTTTGTAATTGACATTCAATTACGAAAGTTACACTTCTCAAGAATGTGTGTCTAATTAAATAAATTTACTATTTGCGCAACCTTAACTTGAGCAGCCGTGGCGCAGTGGTAACGCACTTGCCTCAGAAACGTAAGATACGTGGCTCAAACCCCACCTCTGAGCAAGTTTTGCGACACCGGTTGGGAAGGAAGCGTGAACCTCCTATTAAATGCTCTTCCGCGGTGCTCTGTGATAAGACCGTAATGACTTCTTGGGGCACCTTAATCAACTTGAAAAAAAAAAAAAAGTTTTACGTTCATACTGCGAAATGTTTGTGAATACCAAAATAGTTACGGAAAAATAAATTTGTTTTCCGTAAGTTACGCAAAAGTTACAAAAGTTTTGTGAATCCGCACCCAGAAAGATTTTGCTTCAAAGGTTTTTTATTTTTTTTTTTCACTCCAATATTTTTTTCTTGAACAGATATTTCCAAATCAACATTAAAAATGCTTAACTTTTGAAATGGAGCTATCGCTTTTACTGTTCTGTTTGCTGGACCACGTGAAATGCAGATGATACAATAACAGGTGATATAAGAGTATTTTTTGAAATGAAAAGCGCATTATAACCATATAAAGTATATGCTATGTTGTTTAACTCAAATAAGTGTAATGTAATATCAATAAACAAGTGTAATGTAATTTCAAATATATAAATAGTCTAAATTAATGAAATGATTTTTTTTATTTATTATTTACTTCACAGTCAGATCTGTTTAAAATGTCATTTTTTTTACCTAAAATTTAAGTTTAGAGAAAAATTAACTTAATTAAGTTTAACTAAATGTCGAAATTTGTTCCTTACACAAAACTGTATACGCAATGATATAATGTTATGTGAATAAAAAATTGGTATGTCTGTAAATTGGATAACATTACAACCACATAAAAATGAATAATAACCACCATGAAGATTTCCAGTTTAAAATGAGGATTTTGGATGATCACCTAAATAAAAAACTTTTTTCAGCATTTCAAATCTAAATTTATATTAAAATACAACTGACAACAGGCTTAAATTAAACTATGGTGTCAAAAATATGCTCGTATTTTTTTTTTTTTTTACCTCAATATGATATATCATTCAAAGTATTTTTTAAAATATCATAATTCTTCAAATTTGTAAATATACATAAAAATGCATTTTTATGTATATTCACAAAAAAAACATTTCATTTTCTGTCATGTAAAAAGTTATTGTAGCACATATTTTAAAGATAATACCGTAAAAAAATTTTAATACGTCGTGAATTTCTTTTACGTCAATTTTTATGGGAAAATGCAACTCTTTAATATCTTCTATTCTAGATTCTAAATAAGATATTTTCGCAGCAATTGTGTCATTTATGCATCCAAAAATGTACAAATAAGGAGTTTCCACCGATTCTTGGACATAATAATGTTTACCAGTATCATCAAAAATTTCTCTATTATTATAATTATCATAAATTGGTTTGACAATTAGTAATAAGCACTGGCGTTACCGCATTGGCGGTTAGCACACAAGCGAATTTTTTAGATTATGCGATAAAAAGCTATAAAAAATCGCATCGAATCGCACGCGATTTTTTAGATAAAAATTGACGCGCAATATATCGTCTGGCGATTTGCTCTATAAAAATCGCTTCGCAATTTATTGCATCAGCGATTTTTAAAAAAAACACTCCCGCTATTTTTACGATTTGTCGGATTTATGACAAATAGCTTTCATAAAAGCAATTAGTCTGCAGTAATGCAGATAATTGATCGTTAATGGGAAGAGTTATTCGTATTATTAATATATAGTTAGCGGAAAGAGTTATTCCTGTTAAATAGTTATTCCTATTAAATATGGGAAGAATTCCTATTAAATATAGGAAGAGCTATTCCTATTAAATAGTTATTCCTGTTAAATATGGGAAGAATTCCAATTAAATATGGAAAGAGTTATTCCTATTAAATATGGGACAATTTATTCCTATTATTATTATGTGGTTAGCGGCTAATCATAATCAAAAAAAATTGCTTCGCAATTATCTAACTAAATACCGCAATCGTTGATAATCGCCCGCAATTCCTTTTTCTAAAAGTCATTGTATCTTGGCCATTTCACACCAAAGGGATCTACAGCAAAGGATATTAAAAATTCTATTGCTAGTTTGATTGCAGATAGTAACATTGACGTTAAACACTTTGTTGCTA